TCATGCAACTATGATTTTAATATTGAGTGGAAATCTTACCTGAACTTTCATTAATGAAACCACAGGAGAAACTATGATAACAGAGCCAGGTACCTCAATTATACATGGGTAGATTAGCGATTTAACCAAATCCAGTTGACATGATGGTTTGGACATTGTTTTTCTTGCACACCTTAAAGAAAAAGGAAATGTGCACATTTAATATATCGCAATAACAAAAATTGACTCGGCAAATAAATTATTCACGTTACTTGTTCATGCATATAGGTCACAGTCACGGCATGAAGACAAAACTGTTACTGTTACTCAAAGGCGCTCGGACCGTTTAACGGTTAAGACGGGAGTAGGGGATGTCGTAGCTGTGGGTCCATAGTCCATCTTACACACACTGGACGAGGTCGGTATCACATGATCAATATGACGTCACGTTGTTGTCATTACGTAATGCGGTTAGGGATTCCCCAAGAATACTTTCATGTTTGACTTGTCGGTACACCCGATAAACTATACGTAATGGCAACATTAAATGATATAGTTTGTTCTTGGGAGAACACGTTCAATCGCATAAAACGTTCTTACAATCTGCATTATCATCTGAAACCCGAGCAAATTGATGTCATTACTCATATTTTGCGAAATGAAAATTGCTTAACTGTGCTACCAACTGGATTTGGGAAAAGTATCTGTTACATGCTCCCACCAGTTTTGTTAAATGAAACAATCAGTGATAAACGGCATTACGGTTTGATTATATCGCCACTACGAAGCCTAATGTACGACCAGGTGCGTAGTTGCAATGCTATGGGCATTAAGTCATGCTGCATCACAAGGAAGAAAGATATGGATACAGAAACTATTGAAGGTACGTGAAATTTGTAATTGTCTCAAATTAATATTTTCTCAATGTTTTATCGAGATAGTAAAATTATTGAAACGTTAATAACTAGATTGGCCTCCTAGTTACTGAGACTTTATTCTGTATCATAGATATAAAGAAAGGACTGTTTACAATTTTATTTATGTCGCCCGAAGCATTGTTATTTATTGACTCGTGGAGGCCAATTTCGCTTCAATCCAAAATCTACGGAGATGGAGTTTGTCTCATAGCCATAGATGAATGTCATGTCCTAGAATTATGGTAAGTATTTCCGAAGTTAAGTCTCCACAACTATATATTTAATTAATATATAATTATTTTTGTCGTTGTATTATTATAATTGTAAACCAGCATTGTATTATTCTGATTTATTTTATTTAACAGGGGTGACGATTTCAGACCAACATACAGAATGTTAGGCGAACTACGAAGCCATTTTTCTTGTTCGTTTTTAATTCTGACGGCAACCTGCACGAATGTTATGAAACGTAACATTCTTAAACAATTGTACTTCGGTGAAAATGAGATGCAGCTTGTTTCCAAAGTGCCCGACAGGTAAATTAACCATTATACGTACAAAAGATAATCGTCTCAATTTCGTTTCAATGTTGGACTTTACCTACGTATTTTCTAATATCGTGTAATTAAAGATGTGTGATATCATTACCTATTTCGCAATCTGACTGATTTACACAGAGTTAATTGTTAAATTAATTATTGAATTATTTAGGCCTAACATTAGTCTCTACTACAAGTTTGGCTCATTGTCCATTACTGAAGAGATGGCTTGGTATCTAAGGGAACTCAAAAGTGACGGCATCACAGCACGGAAAGCCATCATTTATGTCAGGTATATCATTTTTATACATATGTATAATAACAATAAACAGGTAGTTGATTGTTTTTTTGAAAGTTTACAAACACGAGAACGTTTAAATGTAGATCTAATGTATAATATAATATAATATAATATAATATAATATAATATAATATAATATAATATAATATAATATAATATAATATAATATAATATAATATAATAACAATTTAGTAAATTACTGACTTTTCGACTTTTTCCTTGCAGAACCATCACTCAGTGTGGCAAAGTATTTGCTAATTTTATGGCCTACCTGGGAAATGCTGCTTATGGAGATGGAAGCAAAGTTATACAAAACCGAATTTTGGAAGTTTACCACGGGGCATTGGCCAGCACAGACCAGGAGAGAGTTGTTTCACGTTTCTCGCAGGATAATGTTTTAAGATGTATAATTTGCACTGTGGCGTTTGGGATGGGGGTGAACATCCCAGATTTAAATATAGTTGTTCATTGGGGATGTAGTAACAGCATAGTTGAATACTGGCAGGAAGTAGGTCGTGCTAGGCGAAATGGTGATCCAGCGGAGGCACATTTATTTCCGCTGCCAAGAACGGTTTTACACGTTGAAGATGATATGAAATCACTCTGTGAACAACTTAAACATTCAAACATTCCATGTCTACGAGTCCACATTTTGGAACACCTCACTATTAAAGGAATGAATCCTCATATAATTGACGAGATAAAACATCGCAAGTCATGTGACATGAAATGTGAGTGTTGTGTTTGCCTCAATTGTAAGTGTCGCACAGCTTGTAAGCTTAAATGTCCATGTCGGGTCAATTAAACTCGCAGAGGTAGGCGTCGAAATACTGTCAAATTGCCATTTTTTATTTTATTTTTTGGTTGTTGTTCAGCATGTTAGAATTATGTTATTGAGTTAAATCTTCACACGCAGATAGCAAATATGGCCACATAGTGTTATGTTTATTGTGTACCACAGTATTGTGACAACATTGTCTTTTCATCCTGTGGTATATTTAATATGCGAATAAAATAAATGCTTCTTGGCAATGAAACATCGTTATATTCAGTTGTATTTATTTTCATCATCTTTTGGTGTCATCCTCTCGTGCGCGAGATTTATAAGTTCGACAATCAAGGATGAACTAAAATGATAAATCAATATTCTATTTGAAGCATTTCCCAGTATGATGCACACAAAAACTATTATTTCCTCTGTTCGCGCTAATTGAACAATAATTCATAATGTGATTTAATAATAAACTGACTGTACTGAATGACTGCTTGAAAACTTATTTCATTTGTAATCGGCACCAGAAATTTAGATAATGATGTTTTTAGGTTTCACTCTGGTAAAAAAATAAAGCTGATGAACATATTTTCATCATAACGAAGGTATTGCTTGCTATAAAATAAGGTGAACGAAAAAGTAACCCAGCCAACAGTAAAGGAATATAGCTCACTGTTTGGCTAACAAAGTAGTAATATTTATTGTTCCAATGTAACAATCCGTAATCCAATCATGGGAAACAACTAATCCTGTGGGAGGATTTCCTTCAACAGGTCAAGGGTTCTACAGTGTGATTTCAGTCGGGATACCAACTTATCACCACTGTGAATGGCTACTTTATTTCGAAAGTTGGAAAATCCAGCGTGATACCGACCCGGAATTTGTTGAAATATGCCATCGTCTCTGTACTCCTTTACAAATTTGGAGACGTCTCGTCTGTAATTAGCAGATGTAGTTTTAGATTTATGAACATATTCGTCCATAAATTTGGTCATGTAAACACATTCTAAGTCAGTGGCCAATCTTCCAACCAGCTGACTACATCTAGCAACATGGGTGTCTGTGTAGCGACCATGGCAGTGTTTTAGGTTCTCTGCAATGTATATGGAAATAAGCATTTGATTACTAATCATATATAACAAACGGGTGTAAATACAAATAGATATTTTCACACATAAACAACGGACACATATATGCCGAAAGTATTTGTTTCGAGCGAAACTTAACTTCTGAACATTGAGGGCGCCCTTGAGCGCCAAAGGAATCAAAACATAGATTCAAAATGGCAGCTCGCACTGATGTAGCGAACGGTGTCGCTTTGAAAGTCATAGAAATCACCAGTTTATAGAAACCTTTGCCATCTATACGATGCTGTATTGGGTGAGTTTCTTGGCATATACATTGCAGATGATTGTTGTTGTTTTTCTGATGTGGACATGCCATTTCCAATATTAGCGTGAAAATTTGAACGTTGAAAGACATGTGTTTATGATTTGCCGGACGGTTACTGAGACTGTATAATGAGTAATGATGATGTTATATTTGTTGATCAGTTGCGTTGTACATGTAATTTTCAGAGTTTTAAAGGATGATGTTTACTACAGAATAAGCTTAGAAACGTTCGGTGTGATTTATTGTTGAAGCAACAAACTTTTGCATAGTTAATCCAGCAAGTTTACTAGTTTGTGATGCATAATTAGAAATGTTTATGTTGAGGTGTTGTAGTTGAGTTTCTGGTATTTAGAAAATAGTATTATATTATAGGATCAATAACCTGTCTATGCCGCTAACCTGTGACGATAGTCAACACTGCTAACCTGTGACAATAGTCAACACTGCTAACCTTTGATGACAGTCAATGCTGCTAACCTGTGACGATAGTCAACACTGCTAACCTGTGATACTACTCAAATGCTAACCAGAGACGTCTAACCTGTAATTATATCCGGCCACAGTAGTGAGTTAAAATTTATTAGTAATTTTAATGTCATTAGTCATTTTGCTGAGACAAATTTAGACATGTGAATTGAGTTAATACAAATAATACTGAGTAAGGGAATGAGTTTGTTGTGATGTATTTTTTATTGAAAATAGTTTTTTGTTTATTGTTATTTACAGAATTGAATGGTTGATCAATAAAAGATCTCTCATACATTAAAACCGGGTGTAATTATATGCGTTCTTGTCCAGTCGGTCTCACCATAATTCAATTTACTTGGGACATATGAGAAGCGATGGAGGACAAGAAATTAAAGAGACGAACCAGTAAGTCAAGATTCACCAGGCAGAAACATGCTGTGGAGTACCTGCTAGCACAAAGTGAGTCATTAATCAGATTACAAGTGAATGAGATAACTGATGGCTTCCAGAAATTAGATATAGCCTATAATGAACTGCAGGACCGCCATGATGAATACTGTGAGACAATTGAGGATCCGGATGAGTACAACCAGGAAGAGGAATACCTCAAAAACTGCCTGGATGAATATTTAGCCACCAAAGCCAAATTTAAATCAGTCATCAATCAAGGCCAACCAACTGAACATGGTCCTGACACACAAAACCAAACACCGCCATCGAGTGGTTTGCCTTCGCCACAGTTATCGGATCAATACAACCAACCAGTAGTACCAGTTATACAACATAAGGCTAGATTAGAGCCCAAGATTCAGAAACCTAACCTGCCAGTGTTTGCTGGGGATGTACGTGAATACTGGACATTTCGTGAAGATTTCAGGCACATGGTTGACCCACTGTATGATGATAGGAATGCCATCTCAATACTGAGGACTAGTCTAACTGGTAAACCATTGGAAATGCTAAAAGGTATTGGTACAGACTATGATGCTTGCTGGGAATACCTTGACTTGTATTATGGGGACCCAAGAATAATTTCTGATGCAGTCACCCAGGATATAATGAAGTTTCGATCATTGAAGGAGGGTGAAGATAGCAGATTCTGTGATTTAGCTCATCTCGTCCGAAGATGTTACAATATATTAAAGCAAGTGGGGAAAGAGTCTGACCTCAATAATAATCATATGCTGGCTATTATTGAAATGAAACTCACAGCTGATGACCGAAAAGTGTGGGCGAGAAAACTGCAACATAATGGGGAAGAAGCCTCTCTTGAAAAACTACTTAGCTTCTTAACTGATGAAATGAAGACTAGAATGAGAGCCACTGCACCAGTCAGAAGTAGTCAGTCTCAAGGTAAAGTCAATCTGAGTCAACAACAAAGCAGTGACTCAAATGATAATTCAACACGCCAGAAGTCAGTTTCATGGAAGAAGTGTTGGGGTTGTGAATCAAACGACCATTGGCCAGATCAGTGTACCAAAATCCGAGCAATAACAGTGGATGAACGCCTGAAAATGGCTAGGGAAAATCATGTTTGCTTTAGCTGTTTGAAGAGAGCAGGGAAAAATCACACCATGAGAACTTGCAATCGAAGAAAACGGTGCTCTATAGAAAACTGTCAGTTCTTCCATCATTCACTTCTTCATCCAGTAACAGGTGGAAGTGTTGTATCAGTAGCGTCAAAAAAGAATGATGTGGCATTGCCAATTATAACAGCAAGAATAGGTACACGTGAAAATGATGTTATAGGTAATATCATGCTGGACTCTGGTGCAAATGTAACATTGGTCAGAGGAGCTGTAGCAGAGAAACTTGGCCTTGAAGGAAAGCCTATCAGTATTGACATTGGCACATTGGGAGGAAATGTACAAGCTCACCAAACCAAAATCTACAAACTGAAGATATTTTCCAATCAGAAAGAGCACACAATATCAGCTGTTGGTGTACCCGAAATTACCACTGTCGCTAAGCCAAAGTGGCAAGTTATGAGAAAAATAGAAAGTGAATTGGGACATCCGCTAAGCAGGGGAGATGGTAGTGTTGACTTATTGATTGGAGTGGACTACCCAGGCATGCATGGA